TTCACACACACAGAGTTAAAAAAAAAAAAAAGACTATTGAACTAAAAACAGTCAACTGTTTACGTATAATGTTAAATTCAGGAGTTCAGTGTTTTACTAATATATCCTGTTTTGAAACCTCTTGTTCAAAAACAAAACGTTTTGAGCAATCAACCAAAATTGTTCATTTTTTTTTTCCTGTAGATGTTCTGACAGATTTGCAGGGCTCACAGCTCACTGTGCTAGTATGTAAAAAGGTGTTGTTTACACAAGGCAAAGAGAAAACACGATATTCAGACACTTGCCAAATAGGATAATTATAGCACAAATACTGTAAAGGTGCTTGGCACCACAACCTGAGAAAGTGTTAAAAAAAAAAAAAAAGTGTTACAAGATTTAAGAAAAAAACATCTTTGCTAATTTTTAGTCCTGTTGAACATTCATGGAATTGTTAATATGACTTATATAGACTCACACAGGTTTTATTTTTGTGTCTTTAAAATAAAAGTCCAAAATATTTAAATTTTATGGTCAAATATGCAGTCAACAGCTGCTACTTTTTTCTTTATATATTAAATTTCTCATATGTCTTTTATTGTTCTGATAAACCTAAGCTTGTGTGACCTCCAGTGCATATTAGACCATTCACTGTATGAAAGAAAACATGTTGAATAAATTTGTGAGTTTTTAATAAAAATAGAAAATCTGATGTTTAGATAATTGGTGTGTTATTTAATGTTTTAACAACTGGAAGGGAGGCAAGATTGGGAGCTGAATGACCCCTCAGAAGCTAGAAGGAAGAAAGGCAAGATGGGGGTATCTTTTTACCTTGGCTGTGGTTGAACCCCATTTCTAATGCCAACCAAGCTTCCTGATGTTATTAGCTACAGATCTGCATTATGTGGATTTAACTAATAAAGTTGAAGAGATGTTTGCTGATAAGTGAAGTAGAATTCGAAATAGAATTCAAATTTATGGCTAAAAATGAGTGGCCCCGGTCTGTGATTAGACGTGAAATTCCATGCACTCTCATTCTCTCCTCTCTGCACATGGGAAACTGGACTTGTGAATGTCGGTTACCAACGAATATAGAGAGTTGGTCCTTTTCAGTTTCATTTCCCTAATTTGATGGTTTGAAATGTAAAATGAATGTACATACAGTACTGCTAGAAATGAAATACTTTAATCTCTTTCACATAAATGATATGAACTAGTTGTTTTATAATATTTGTTACATTTGAAGTTCCCCAGAAGAAAAACTATTTTGCCTGGCACCGATATATATTACATTTCTCTGAAAGATGAATAAAAATAACCAATATAAAAATCAAATGTTAACTGACAGTTGCCAATAGGTTTTGAAAAGTAGTTCAGTTCCTTCAAAGCCTTTGTTAAACGTGGAAGGAATTTAAATATTTTATCTACTATGAAATATGTGTGTGTTTTAATATCAGATGCTATTAGAGTTCCAGAATTTTTTTTCCGTATCACCTTGATTTCAGTCTGGGTTATTTATTTCATTTTGAAAAATCAAGGTTTTACATTAAATGTTATGTAATTTCCAGTGTTGTTTTCATTTCTTGTTAAGATACACCAAGTGTATCTTTCCTGCCAAGAAGGCTTTAAAATAAGCAATATTTCACTGCATCCATATGACAGCTAATGCAATCGGGAGGACCATCAGGGAGGAATCTGACAGTGTTCTTTAAGAAATCCAAATTTATGAAATATAGGGGAGACTTTTGAAACTTCTAGCCTCTGCATACAGCACATTTCTTTATCTTCTTTGTATGCAATCAGTGAATCAGCTTGTTTTTGCCCTTTTAGCATTTATATACGTTAAATAATAGCCAACTTATTTATTATAGCCATCCCCTTAAAAGACATTTATTTAACTGAACGTATGCTCATTGGGAAGATGCATTTTCCTATCAAGCCTGCTCAATTATTTAGCAGCTTTATTGTGGAATTGAGTACTTGATAAGAAGCGTTTCAGAGTTGGGCGCTCTGTGTGGACACAATTCTTCTC